TGCAGAGATGAGCTTCTTGCAGACCTGGTGAAACAGCAGAGGAATCACCTGCAGTGTTACAGCATGATCAGAATAAAGGGGTTGCCCAAGAAACCAACACATGCCAACAAACCAACGCCCCACTTTTATTAATAGAAGGTACAATTCAGAACTTCTCTTTGCTTAATTCACCAAAGAGTAATTTTCTTGCACTAGACTCATGAATTTGATGCCACAGCCTCTGGCCATTCATGGCAGCCTCCGTCCCACATCAGTTATGAAATATTTTATATGATTCAAAGCCAATTCCCCCTCTAATTTCAGTACAATCTCTGGGATCCAACACATCCAACTGCACTGTTATTTGAATCACTTATTTTAGCTCATAGAGATGTTCTGTAAATCCTTCCTGATCTGTGTGAGTGTGAAAGCTTTATCAAGGCCTTCATGCCATGAGCATAAAAATCTCTCAGTATTAGAGGCACAGAAAACCTATTTTGAGTGTTCTTGAAAAGCATTCTTGGCGGCAGCGTGGTGCAGAGTCACTGCCTCAGCAGCAAGCCCAGCACAGCATGGTAGCAGCAAAGGCAGCCAGACTCCCATGTCTTCTCATCTGCCGAAGCCAAAGCAACAACACAGTAGGGATGAACTTGCCCTTCTCACTCTCAGAGGTTCCTTTCAGGAATTGAAACTGCCTCAGTGATACAGAAATCAGGAAAAGACATATTGGATCAGTAAATTCCTCTTAATCCCTAAATTGCCTCAAAAGACTTAAAATAAGCCCGTTGAGATTAAATAGCCACAAAATTCCCACAGTTATGGCAAGAAAAGAAAAAGTCTTCTTCCTCTGTGGCTAATGCTTTGCAAAATAAAGCAATAAAGCAAAGACAATCACTTTGCACTAGAGGACTCAGGATCTGAGTGACACTATGCAGTTTCACAGCCTGCCAGTGGATTTTCTTGTTTCCACCCCATTTCAAAGCTACCAACAGGCTTTCAGCAGCAAAAGAATCCTTAAAGTTTAAATCCAATTTTTTTCTGAACTGAAATAGACATTGTAAAAGCAAATAATGTAGTAAGCTTCAAAGAAACCTATAAGAAACTTAAAAACTGTGAGGTCTTTTTCAAAATGATTAGGAGTTGGTGAAGCAAGGACTTGCAGAGGATGGCACTCACTGGAAGATCTTCAGGCACTTAGAACAAGGGGAAATGTCTTCAAGTTCAAAGAGGGGAGATGTCGTTTGGAAAAAGGAAGAAGTCTTCTACAGTGAGGTGGTGAGGGTTGCTCAGAGTTGTGGTGGGTGCCCCATTCCTGGAGACTTTCAAGGCCAGGCTGGATCAGGCTCCAGGCAGCCAGATCTAGCTGTGCATGTCCTTGTTCACTGCAGGGCAGTTGGACTAGATGGCCTTCAGATGTCCCTTCCAACTCCAAGGATTTCATCATTTGTTTCATTATGTTTTGAACCATTACTCTCTCTGCTGAGCCAAATCCCAGAGGAAATCATCTTCAACACTGTTGTATGAGAACAACTGATTTTCATAGCAAATATGCCATGTAAACTTGATCCCACAAAAGGAGAGGCAGGGAGGCAGCTAACAAACATTTTAAATGCAAAGTAATACTTAAACACCGCTCTCTGTTTCTTCACATAAATAAATAAATGAAATTAATAAGGAAGGGGAAGTTTCCTATTTGGAGCTTTTTTTTTTTTTTTTTTTTTTAAATGTGGCATTGTATGCAGTAGTAATAAGGTGAACAAATGATACAGAGCACACTGTTTGGCCTGCAGCACCTCTACTTGTCCAATAAGCAGCAAACAAAAACAACACAAGCAATTCTTAGTTTAGAACTTAGGTTCAATGAAGAGCAGCTAAGGGAGAGGGGGAGAAATAAACACTTTTCTTCAGTTTTAGAACATTACAAAAATTGTACTTCAATTCAAAGAAAGGTCAAATGTACAACCTGAGACAGCTGTTTTTATAAGATCATGGATCAAAGTAAAACTAACCTTCAGGAAAAGCACAGCTGAGGTTGAGATGTATGGTGAAGAGAACAGAAATCACACTACTGGAATTATTTAAATAGGAAGAAAACACTTTGGAACATATCTGCAGGGAAATCCTGGAAGGGCTTGAATGAGAACTGAACTAGTTGGCTGTTCTGAGCTCCCTTGTGTGTGCCTCCCAGCATTCACACAGTGTTCATCTGTACTGTTTGCAAGGTTTTTGTTCTTGTTTTTACTTAATACTGCTCAGAGTTTTAACTTAGTGGACAGAGACCAGCATAAGTAACTCAAATAATCTGCTTGGATTAAATAGGCTGCATTTAGTTGTAGACTGCCATGATGTCTCTGCCTTTCCCTCAACAGCACTACAAAAGCATCAGAGAATGCAAGACACTATTCATAATGCCTCCTGCATTTTTCAGCTGCCCAACCTCTGTTCTTCCCACTAACTACTTGGAAAGGAAGCTCTTTTGGAGCAAAGGAGACTGTTCACATGAATAAGGGCTATCAGGTCATATCTGCATTCCAAAAGGATTTTAGTGCATAAACTAAGAGATACAGTTCTTGTGTGTTGCCTCCTTCTATAGGGCCTAGAGAAGGGCAATAGCTATCTCTCTAGAAAGGAGACTGGACTGGAAAAAGGTAAAGAAGGAGAGTTGGAATGAGAAAGCTTTCCACATCTGACAGCCTCAGCTCTCATCAGCCAAGGCTTTTACAGAAATCATCCCTAGCTGTCTTTATGTTCACTGGAGAACCATCACCCATACAAATGTGGAAACTTCATTCTTCCTCTGGAGCTTAACAACTGCAGATGTTCTACACAAGCTAGTAGGGTTTGCATTTATGAACAGCCCTAGAGTGTCAAATAGCACTATTTTCACCCCTCCTCCCACTCCTCTCAGCCAAACAGCATTTTTTGGGGACACAGAAAAGAAGAATGCCTGGCCTAATAGCTTGTTCAGAACTGCAGCTCCCAGATATGAAGAGCCTGTGTGTATGTACATATTAAGTACTTCCCCTACTATGCAACTAATCCGATTAACAGCTTTAGGAAACTCTGAAACGTTATAATTCAAGGGGACCCACTCATAAAAGGTCTTAGACCATTTCTGTACAGAGGTTGCATTCTTCCCACTGGAAATAAAAAAAAAAAAAACACACAGAAAGCAGGACTTTCTCGCAGGGAAGAATGGACCCCAATCCCCACCATATAGACCACCCTCTTACAATTCACAAGTGTCAAGCAAGCCCCATAGGAGAAGAATCAACTCCTCCTCTCCCGTAGAGAGCCCCCTTGCAGAGCAGGTGAATACAGAGACCCCTCTATGCATGCTCTGCAGAAAGCTAAGCTTGCTATGACAGGCCCAGGAGCTGGCTAGTTGTCAGCTTGCACTTCCAGGGGTTGAAAGTCATGGAGAGGAACCAAGTCTGCCAGTGATGAGGAGACTGCCATATGAGCACAGAGTCACAATTCCCCTAATGCCCATCACATGGAGCACCGCCTGGGCTTTAATTCATAAAGCCCAATTACACAACACAAGTCATGGTTGCAAGAGACCACCGTCTGCCTTACATAGTATAGATGTAGGTTACAACATTCATGCCTGGCGTGAGTACTGAGCACAGAAAAATGTTTCAGATTCAACAACTATAAAAACCACCACAGCAGGCATTTGGTTTTGCTTCCACAGAAATATCTTCTAACTCCTGTAGCTGACAAAGAGACATAGAAGAGATGACCACCTACTTGGTCCTCATTCTCTGACTTACCTTCTGCTCTAAAGGCAACTGACTCCTAATAGTCTAACACTCGAGAATGAACTACACTCAAAACAACATTAACAGGGTAAGTGACACAATAACACATTTACAGGAAGCAGTCAGTAATAGTAAGAAATGCGCAGACCCCTTCCACACAGAGTTCTAGAGTCAGCATGAGTTTAGATTAGGTATGATGACATTAAAGTATACATCCGTGTTGGGAGATGGATGTGCCATCTTTCTTTCTGACTTATTTTAACAGGAAGATATAGCACCAAACTCCAGAATAGGACTTACTCTGAAACAAAAGACAGGCAGTCACAAAGATTCAGAACCAGCTACCAGTTCTTGTGAATGAAACAAAATGAGCTGAGATGCACAGACATCAGGTCTGCCCCACTGATCCAAGTCTCTACTCAACTTTTCACCCTACTTGCTAAATTAAAAGCACAGCAGCAGAGAGAAAATAAGGTTGTCCCAACCTACTCTGTGTCCAGTTCCACCAGTGTCCCTCAAAGCTCAGATTCCAACTAATTCTCCTACCATCATAAAATGGATGAGAGGCTACAATACTGCAGGGAGTCTCTTCACACTCTCCAAGCCAGCTGCAAAGTGTTTCAGATACTCTTAGAGATGGAGACAAAGCAGAGCTTCTGACTCAAGAAACTAGTCCAGTCTGACACAAAACTGAGCATATGAAAGAGCTATGTAGGGGCAGAAAGTAACATCAGCATATATTACCCATCTCTTGGCTTTACAAAAAAATCAAGATTGTTAATCTGTAACAAGTACATAATATCTTCAAGGGTAGCCGATGTGCAAGACATCCATGGGTTTTACCTAGGTTAATGCATTTTTTTTTTTTTTTAGTTTTTAACTCGTCAAGACTAAAAGAAAAGAGGGGAGAACAGTAATAGTTAAATTTAATGCCAAGCTGAATGTCCCTGTTTCAATCAAATTTCCTTCCAAATTTGCAGAGGCAATTCTTCAAAGGAAGAAATCAGCGCTGTAAATTCAAAACTCCTTCAGGCCAAACAAACAGAAAGGCTCCATGATTGCCCTCAGTGCAAATCTTGACTGTTTTTATCAAAGTTCAGCGTTGGTTCTCATTCCCAATTACATAGCTAGCTTCTCCCTGTATGCATTTCCCTACCTGCGAGAATAGGCCACGTGAATGACATGGAACTCTTTGCCATCTGACAATAAAACCAAGTGAAAGAAGGGAAGGCAGTGTCACCTTTGGGCTGCCCTTACCTGAAGTGTGTCTTGCGTTGCCAGCTGAGTGCTTTGTTAAGTCAACAGTTCTGTCTATTTGAAACAGCTTCAAATCATCTTCATCTAAAGCGATATCACCCCAAAAGGCAGCTGGAGAGAAACAAACTGCAATTAGTTTTATTTTGGAAGGAAAGTATAATTCTTATGCAGACTATTGCAACTGTATGGACCAGAAAAAGGTAATACGCAGCAGCAGTTTATAAGTACAGAGAGAGTGGGCACTGGTGGAGGCTAGTGACAGTATTAAAATTGAACCACTGTGCAGGTGCACGGAAAGGAGCTTATTAGCTGAAATGCCTTGTGTTACATTTTGTTGCAGGACTGACTCTCAACCGAACTTTATGGAGGTGGTGTTCACTGTCCATTAAAGCCTACAAGGGGCAGTTATGGGTATTTCCCTAGTCGGTGTGAAGGAGAGAGCTAAGATGCAGCTCAGATTCTGACAGATGTTGCATCCACACCATCTCAGGTTAATAGTTTGCATAAAAAAGGACAACCATGAACTGTCAGCCTGTGGGACTTAATACACATGTTCAACCAACACAGTGCTCAACTGGCCTAGATCCAACCACAGAACCAGCCTACCATTTCCACTTAGCTGAAGAAATGTCATTTATTTGTCCTCTTGTGGATTAGTTACCCTGACTGAAGTTCTCAGAGTTTTTAGTTTTGTAAAAATCCTTGAATTTCAGCCAGAAGCCATGAAAATCAAGTAAATAAAGTGATACCTCAACACTCAAAGCTCAAAAAAAAAAAAAAAAAAAAAAGACTGGAAACCCTTTAAAAAATAAAAGATAACCCTGTAAGAGTTCAGTTGACCCTGCACAGGTTTGTATTGAAAAAAATGCAACTAAGTAAATGCAGATGATGAAGCAGTTGAGAGAACAGATCCTTCAGAGATAACAAAAAGGTTATGAACTGAGCTGTTAAAACTCATAGTCTGTGTGGGTTGATGAAAAAGAAAACAAAACACACCAAATAAACAACAGAGAAATTAATTCCTGGTACAGCTCAAGAGAACTCAGTAAGTCAGGCAAGGATCAATGCAGAGTTGCTCTCAGCAATAGTGACCAGATGCAATGGAGTCACAACCAACAATATTTACATTCCTGGAGAGAAAAATTGTCCCATTGCTAAGCAAGCAGCATCACTGATCAGAGTAAGTTAGGCCTAAGTACCCACCAGGTTTTACTCATCAGTTTGCGTTTCATTTGGTCTTGTCAGTAAACATGTCAGGATGTTCGCTTCTCAGCAAACCAAAAGCCCGCATCAGAAAACTGCATCTGTGGTAACTGAATTATAAAGAGTTAACTCCTACGGAGCTCTGCCTGCTACAGGGCACATCCCAGCTGCCACACATCACCCCATCAAAGAGCTGCCACAAGCAGCTGAGCTGGTAGGAGTGCAGGGATTCAGCTGTTTCCCTTTCCCTCTGTCTGCCTGGGGTTATCTGGCCATAGTAGTGGAATGGGAGGCAGGACTCAGCCTTGGAGGAGACTGACTGTAGCTTTTTGGCTGTGTCTCCTTAACAGCACTACCAAAATCCAGAGTACAGAAATACAGCAACAGCTCCAGAAGACTCCATAGTGCAGACAAATTTATGCACCGACATCAATTAAAACAAGGACAGAGCCTATAAAAAAGGCACAACTCAGGCTCTCCCCAATATCTTGACAACCAATTTCCTCATACAGAACAAAGGAGAACATAAAATACTATCAGCTCACCACCAACTAACAAGTCTACCAGCTTGGCCAAGAGCATGCTGATTGGGAATGGCCAGAGAAAGAAATGGGGTGATATTCTCCTCTGACTGCAATTTGATTACTTTTTATCCATACAGATATCCATGACTTGCTCAGAACAATGTGGCAAACAGCATCCCATGCCATGTGATTCTTTCTCCAGCCACATTCAGTGGGTTACTATTGAACTGGCCAGACTGACATCCATTCCCCACCCTAACACAGATCAACAGTACCATTTCAATCCCAGAGTAATTTCCACCACCATAGGCTCTCAGGGGCTCTTTTCCATTAGCACTGCATAGTTTGTTTTTCAGGACAAGGTAGTAAGTACATGCCGAAGCTGTGGTATGGATTTAAAGAAACAGAATTGTTGTATTTTCTTTCCCAATGGAAAACAGTTTTCTCCCAGCCCTAGCACAGGAATCTCTTTCTGTTACAAAGCTATGCATCATCCTGAAAGATGGCCCACTACAAAAGTCAAATTTCCCTAGCATTTATTGCCAGCTCTCTATAGAGAGCATGCTCAAGGGGAACCACAATTTATCACAGTCCTGAGCCAGCTAAGCAATTTTCCTCACTGGAAATCCTGGCCGAGAATGTTGCACTGCAACTTCTCCTGTGCTGTCAAAGGCTCCTTCCTAAAGGCATGCAAGCCTGAAAGATGCTTGCTTCCACCCCAACGGAGTTGTCCCACAGGAAAGAACAAGTATTTTATTTTAAAGGGTCACAAGTTCAGAGACTTCTGGCGAATTAAACCTCTGAAAGCATCCCTTCTGATTTCCTTTACCAACGTCTCCTTTTTCATTTAACATGGGAGGATTTCCAGAAGAGAAAACAAAAACAAAAATTAAAATCTCCTAACAGCAGGCTAGCAAACTTGGAAAGCAGTATTTCTCTTGGCAGAAGTCTCTGTAGCGTACAGCCAGGTGCAAACTCTTAACACTCAGCGCAGTAGTGTGCCAGCTTTTGTTTAAGATGATGCATTAATCGCTCCGGATAGTTAGAACAGAGCAGCCCTTATTGAGGTTGATGCAGTTAATACGAGAGAGTTTGCTTCCACGCCGGACTAGCAGTCTGCATCAGCTACTCAGAATGTTTAACCCCACCGCTCCCCAGCGTGTGCAATGGGAAACCATTTGTTTGTTGAGGCAAAGCAGGAATAAACAAACAAATCCATCATCCAACCAAAAAAAAAGTCTTGCAAGCTGTCCTTGTTTTCAGAACATTTCTTCCCCAGTAGAACAAGCCATGTGCTGGTGTTTGCACTGCACAGTAACCTGCCTGGGGGGCTCTGGCAGTCTCTATCTCCAAAGCACTATGACCGCCCAGAGCATCTTCTTCCTAAAATCGTTCCTCTGCAAACCACCCCCTGGTCTTTTCCTTCCCACAGTGCTCTCAAGTAACTTCTTTCTCCCTCTTCTACTTCTTCCTACTCGTATCTTCTTTCCCTAGCTTTAAGTCGGAACTGGAATTCAGGGGAAGAAAACCCTCTGTCTCTTACGCCAGTCAATACAAAAGTGTTTGCAACAGTTTAAAATCATGTCCCATAAACCATGTTTACTCCAGTCCTTTAACGAAGCGTCTCTCCTTTCTATATTTTTTTCTCCCCTCAAAGGCAACAAAGTAGAAAAAAAATAACATTACTCCTAAGAATAAGAACCCAAACAAAATGCAACATTGTATTTGTTGCAGGCAGACTTATCTCTTCCAGTCTAAATACACAGGGACAGCTGTCTTTCAGCCTCACCATCATCAGCCCCAAGTTTACACAAGCATACTAACAGAAGAATATAACTGTACTTGAAAAATATCACCAAAGTCTGTGTTTGAATTGATCTCAGCCTCCAGACCAAGGCTAGGAGCCTTTCACCCATTTGCCTGTCATGATTTCTCACAGGAAAGCTCCATTCCAGCACTAAAAGATCAGCGTAGTCCATAGATTTACCCTGCTGACAGGAAGCTACAAAGCAGTTGGCCTCTGGACACCATGGGAGACTGCAGGAATTCTGAGGCACCCATCAGGAACAGCTGCAATAGATTCTTAGAAAAAGCAACCTTGGAAACAGGCATGCTCTGCCTGCCCGGAAAACTACCTCCGTCCCACTCCTCCTCAGAGAGGGCCTCACTGGCTGAAGCTTTGATTAAATAAGGAGAGGTTTTAGGTGGTGAATAGGATGTGAACCTAGATTGAGGACTATACTCCACCAGCTGATTCAAAGGAACCCTCTTTCTGCGGGGACAGAAGCACGCTAAGTTAGTCTATGCCATCAGCTCAAGAATCTTTTTTGAGCTTGCAGCCAGTTGGCACAGCTCCTGCTGACAGACTTTTATTTCAGTTCCTCTATGTAGTTTTAACACATTTTTGCTGGAAGGACTTCACTCCTGCCTGGCAGATTTCCTGCAGCACAGTATAGCAACGAGCATGGAAAACAAATAGCAATGTGAATCCAAACAGATGCCTCACATTTGTTTCAGCAGCATTCATGACTCAATCTCAGTTTCCAGTGATGTTCACAACCTCTCTGTGTAGATGATAGCTGAGCTTCCAAGAAGGAATGCCTCATGATTGACTACCTGAGCATGCGAGAGTCAGTAGAAAACATCCAAGGAAAAAGCATTTGCACCTTGGCACCTCCAATTTTGTGGCCAGATGGATGCAACGGTCTGGTAACACAAGGAGCAGACTAATTGCCACATCAGCTGTTTGTGACTGAAAGTGCAATCAAAGGATGTGGTCTGAACCATACATGCATGTGTAAGGGGCAGCGTTTGTCCCCATCCAAATCTCTCCTCCATAATCTGTGTTATGGAAAGATCCTAAGGCACCAACTCCTGTTGCTCTAGAAGTGACTGTACTGTGCCAGAATAGTGCAAGGGAAAGCCAGCATCCCACCTTGTCAACAAGAGCTGTAGGCAAGGAGTGCTGGCTGCACATACAGGTGGGTTATTCTATGACTATTCATGCACTAGCAAAAGCCTGCAAGTTACTTTTCAGCATTTGGTGATGCTTCCCAACCTGACAGGTATGTGTGCTAGAAATTCAGTTTTCAGGGCTGGCCACACTTTCATTAGGGCTTCCGCACTCCAGCAATAAATAAATCAACAGATCAAAGTGAATTTCCAGCACATTCATTTTTCTTTCTGCTCATGCACTGACATGCAAGTCTGTTGTTGCTGAATCACCTGCAGATACAAGAACCAGTGAGGAAGTGTTCTGAAATGTGCTGACAAATATTCATACCTTACAGAAGAAAATGATATTCCCTTGTGCAAAATAACAACTGTGTGACAAAAGAGAAAAGCCTCAAAATAAGGCAGTAATCAGTGAAAGAAGAGAGAAAA